AAAAAAATATTTTGGCCAAAAAAAAAAAAAAAAAAAAAAAAAAAACAAGACTCTCTTCTCTTCTCTTTACCTTCTCTGTACAAAACCAATTTCTTTTTTTTTTAGCTATTTCACAAATCTACTCTTTTTTTGAGAAAATATTTTTTTCTTGAGTGTTAATATGATAAATGTTAGTCAGAAAACAGACATTTGCGCAAACTATTTTTTTCATGCATATAATTCCGTCCAGTAGTTATATGCATTATACATTTATTATATTTTAACGCAGACTAAATCAGAAAATTTAGAGATTTGATTTCATAAACTAAAATAATATATTTTCTGTAACTTGATTAATCCTGAATATATTTTGCGGCATTTATAAATATATGAAACGGTTCAACATGTTGGTGTTAAAAAAAACGGTAGCATCTTATTTCATAAGGGATATAATGTTAAACCAGGAGCGAACGTATGCATGAAATGCTTCATTAGTTCATTTACCCGCACTGCAATTTGAATTCTAAACATTATGTAAAACAATAATTCCACTAGTAAATCACTATCACAAGAAATTTACACATATCAGTTATAGTTTAAGTGTTTTATTCATCCGCATTCTTATAAACCTTTACTTACGCTCATATGCATATATATTCATATTACACTTAATAAAGTATGATAAACACGACCGTTGCTGATTAAATTACTAAATATAACAGTAAGCGATCATAATTTAACAATATAAAAGAAAAACGTAAAATTTGACCAAATCTTAGCAAAGAAAACGTAAAATTTGATAGATACATAAAAATGGGAATCCGTGAATGCCATACTGGAAGGCGATGCATGTCTTTTAGTGACTCGAGACAAATTCGCCGAACCCTATCCTACTAGTCTTCTATTTCAAGGGTTTCTTTTTTTTTACTACTTGACACCAGAATTTTAAATTGACGGTAACGACATTCGCATGTTACATCGCATGAAACTGCGAGCCACTCTAGACAGAAGAGAAGCTTAAACTAAAAACCACTACAATTTAGGTATATGAAAATCATGTGCTATAGTATTCAATTATTCAATAGCCACAAAGCTCCTAATTATGTTAACTCCTGTGTAGTCATTTTAAACTACAAACCATACAGATTGACTGGTTTGATAGCTAAATAGCTTCCTTTTTCTGTATCTCCAATTTCAATTGTTTACACCTACAAAAAAAAGCTTCAAGCAAACCCTTCTCCAATTTCAATTGAAGGACTGCGCATTATGGAAAAGTTTACTTATAACATAAATCCAAATTGGTTACCCTTGAAAAAAAATTGTTACCCTGGTTATTATGATTTCTGGCTTGTGACCATTTAGTTAAAAGTTAAAAGAAATACAAAATGGGTGAAATTCTTTTGGGCCGAACATGCATCTGTCGATGCTACTTTAGTAGGCCTTTGGCTGGCCTTATGTGAAAGTGATTGCTCTGACTCTCAGATTTGGCTTTTTAATAAAAATCAAAGCAAAGATCTTTTTGTACTAAAACATGCGGCGATTTATCTCCAAACAAATCAAGAAACAGCTATCATTTTCCGGTTATGACAATTGAAAATGTTCTTAACAAAACTAGATTAATAACAGTGTATACGAAAATGAATAGCAGTCTTTAGTGTTTTAAAAAGAAGAAAGAAAAAAAGAGTGCATTCTTTAAAAACCACACCTTGGTGGAATATTCCATTTAGTCTCGGACACGGTCGTATTCAACAATACATATTGTTTCCAATCTTCAAGAGCAGCCTTTAGATTAATTACTTTTCTGTCCAAACCAAGACAGCAATTAGAATGCATTGTATTGACCACGTTAATGTCCCGGCTCGGCTGGCAAAACCCTCCAAAGTAAACCGTGTCCAAGTACCTAATGCTGATTCCAAGTTTCATGGCGAACTGGCCGGCTTTTATTTGGTTGAACACATCTTGATCGTGTTTTCCGGGGAACTTTTGACTTGATTTGATCCAAAATTTGTAGAATTTTAACGTCTTGTTGTTTGCTTTGACGTATGTGAATCCGGAATTCACGAGATTATTCTTGTCTGTTGGCCTTCCATTGTAATAATCGCATGATATCTGAAAGTCGGCGTCTGGGAAGAACCGGGGAAAGGGATCTCGAAGCCATAAAATATCTGCATCCTATATTTGTATACAGTGTTTAGCAAATTATGACATGATGACAATTACAATAATTAAAACTACGTACTGCTATCTTAAGATATATTCAGTATACTTAATTTTGACTAGAACTATATAGCATTTACAATAAAACCTCTCTCTATAAATGTTACAATCTTGAATACTATTGGTTATGTAGTATTTATACTCAAGTTAATCTCTACCGTAGAGTCCTAACCAGCCGCCTAGTACGAATAAATCAATGGTTCGATAGTTTATATCAACAGTAAATGGAAGTCAGAGCTACACTAAGAACAAAACAAAATAATATCGATATCCAATCTAAAACCTTCACAAAAAAGTAAAATCTAACAGACGTAAGATATTGGAACAATCCTATATATAACTAAACGATAAACTCCATAGGTACCTAAACATTTCATAAGTTAAAAATCATGTTTTCTTTATAATCAGATCTCTCTTTATATTCTTCTTAATATTTAGAAATGCATATCATATTTTTATATCAAGTAGATCATTCTCTTACTATATTATTATTAATAGTTTTCTATTATTTTACGTTATACAGTTACAAAAATATTTTGGAAAAATTCGCGGATGGTGAGGAAACATACAGTATATACACTTCAATGTATAGAGAAAAATATCATACTGGACAAAAAGAATTTAAGATGTATGCTAACAAACTATATATAAAAATAAGAGAAGAAAGTTAATGTTTCATGTACCGTGAAGATGAAGTTGTATCCTAATCGAAGAACATTTCTAAGAAGATCCATTCGCCGCCAAATGAGTTTCAAGTAACCAGGCGACATAAACCCGTTTGGACCGGAGAGTTGGTCTGAATCTGTGGAGTTAATCAAGTAGCAATGAGGATGAACCTCTAGGCACCGATCGTATGCATGTTTATCCAAGCAAACCGCGATCACGTGTTTCAGTAGTCTCTCTGTTCCTATACCGGCTTTAAAACTCTCTAGAAACACGTCGAAACTTGAGTTTGGTTTCGCCCATGCTTGGTTTAACGCTGTGATGATCACTGTATTATCCTCCATGGCCGCATTATTCAGTACTCTCTCTAATTCTGAAACCGGTTCCTTCTTTTGCACCTAAGAATATAGTAAAGATCAACATATCAACCATATCATTACATATAGACCATGAACCTGAAGTTCTCTATTTATCGAGAGACTAATAACGAAATGAAGATAAGATGAATTCAGACGAAAACAAACTGAAACAATCTTAAGAAAATGAGGTGAGCAATGGACTCGACAATTTGAAGAATAATATTCAAATTAAAGTATCAATAAACATATGTAATATACTCACCGTTTCTAAGGAGGTCTCGTTAATGGTTTTTGAAGAATAACAATCGGTCTTCCATAGAGACACCGTGTTGAGTGGATTATTTACAGATTTGATGAACAATAGGCAAGAAAGTGTCACGGTCGTGACCAGCAACACGACTTTAACCATGTCTCTTCCGGTAGATACCACTGGCTTAGATTTTCCATCGTCAATACTAACTCCGGCGAACTTGTATCTCAAGGTAGAAGATTCACCTTTCCTGCCCTCCATCGTTTTGACTATGAATAGTTCTTTTGTCTTCGTTCGTTTCCTTTATATATAAATATATTTTGCTGCAATAATGTTTCCATTGTATTGCCTTACCATATATTTCCATTTAAAAGTCTTGCATTTTCTTTGAATGGTTTTTTTCAGTTGAAGTATATAAGTTACTCGTGAGGACTCGTAGAGGCTGTATATATATATATACAATAAACCCAACTTGGCATTTTCTTATTTGCTCGAGGTTAATGGACGATCCGGTTTAATAGGAACTTCGAATAGATAAAACCTTTTCTTTTTGTATTGAAAACGTGGATCCAACAAGAAATTTAATGCTCGTGGATCTCAAGGTTTAATAATACAGGCAAACTGGATTAGCAGGCATAACAGCGCATGTTGAATGTCATTTGGAACTATCACGGTTTCGCCGTTGAGGCATGTGCTTAAGTTTAAGTCACTAATCATATAAATGATAACATATTATTCTTTGTTATTAGCTTAATTATCTAGCCTCAATTCTACTTTCATGGGCGTCTAAATTCAATATGTACTAGGTGAAATTTCGTGCATTGATTTTTTCTTGTTAAACCTAACAAACTCAAGAAGTTATACAAATTTACAGTGATAGAGAAATATGAAAAAACAGATAGAATTTATTTTTATGTATCAGTTTTAGAGTAAAGCAAATAAGAAATGTGTTTTCTATAGCAGAGTACCCTAACTTTATAATTAAAGCTATTACAGTTTCTTGATAAGTAAAAAATTGTTAATCTTAATCATTACATATGGTTTGCCGGTTCTAAAATTGATGTTTAGAAATGAGATTTATTTTTGACCATAAAAGAGAGATTTATTAGTAATATAACAGAAATAAAATATCACAAACTTTCAGATTACTATATACTAGGATTAGACCCGCGCCTTGCGCGGGATGAAATGATTAAATTCGTTGTATTTTTAAAGATAAAAAGACATTATATCTGTTTTATTTGCATATTAGTTTGTTTTGGATTGGTGGTTTCGGGTTTTAATATCGTCCAATTATATATCTATTTTATAAATATTGTTTTTTTGGTTAAATTGCGATTTTGTCTCATATATATGTTTTTTTTTGTCATCCACGCGACATGGAAACACGTAAGTTGAAAGTATATTACTGTCAACACCATTAAGAGTATTGAGACAATCCCAAATCTCCTTTTAGTCTCGAGATGGGTTGCGAAAAGGCTCATTTCGAGAAGCAAATTCTCAACTTGTATAACGAAATCTCCAATCTCAAGAGCCCTTAAACCTTTCACATATATATGTCGACAATTTGTTCAATAGCTCATGTCCACGTCCTTTCCTATGGATACAAAATCGACGTTAAAAACTTGTGTCCAAAAGTCCAAAACTACAGAACCAATCTCACCAACCTACGTAGTGAAGATATAGAATTTTCAGAGCACCACTACTATACGGCCTTGGGATCTCTCGAAGACAACACACTTCACCATGTAGATCTACCCTCAGTACACTAACTACCTCAAACTTAGCAAAGTTGAGTTCAATCTCTTCACGTTACACACAAACCATGTCCAAACCAAGATCGCGTTCATGGGCTCCGGTATGTTGCCCTTCATATCCATCATCTTAGATACGTCCCACCTCCCAAATAATGACGTTCCAGAACTTTGACATCGACCCTCAAGCCAATTCACTTGCCTCCGAACTTGTCTCACGCGATATTGAACTTTGTAGTCTTAAAGTATCTCGTGTGTTTTATAATTGAAGTAAATAAGGTAATATATTGTGAGAAGGTAGTAAATAAGGTAATAAATTGTGAGAAGATAGTAAATAAAGTAATAAATTGTGAGAAGATAGTGTGAAAACATTTAATGCAAAATGCTTCTCTTTTAATATATAAGGGATATGAAATATCAAAATATCAACTTTGACTTTCAACACTGAAGAACTATTTTTTGGATAAAATTTGAGTTTAATACCAAAAAGAACAATTTGTTTATATCAGCTTGGCAAAGCTAAAGAAGTTACATTTTTATGAGCCACTGCTAAAGAAGATACATAAGACCCAAAAAGGTACAAAAAACCTATATGAAATTGAGTGAAAGTTGTCTAATCAAATAGTTACTTATGAATGAAGCAAATAGTAAGGAGGTTATTGAACAATTTATGGTCACTGCGAGCTAGGATGTTGTCTTTGATATACCAATCAAGCTATTGATAGACCTGTGTGTGGGACAGAATCTCTCATATCGAAAATTGGAAATGGTCTTAAATAATATAATAGAATTGAACGAACTTAGATAGGCTTCTGGTACAATATTTGAGATAAAACACAATATTTACAGGTCATTTAATAGTGAATCTCGCTAGACGATCATGTTTAGTCATTTTAAATTATAGATCGGTATAAACCGAATAGACTGAGTGACTGGTTTGATAACTTTTTTTTTTTGTCAATTTGGTCACTTTGGACCGAAATCCTCAAACTGAGATAACGAGACGTCTCTAACGCCACGGTCCGAAAGCAGAGCTCAGTTGCCATTTGGCTATCAACAACCCGACGACTGGTTTGATAACTAAATGGTTTTCTTTCTTAGTTGAACACTAAACAGTTTCTTTGTACTATTAATACCTCTCCACCACACCAAAAAAAATTACTAAAATTTTATGTCACCAATTTCAATTGTTACATCTACAAAAATACTTAAAGCATATCCTTTTCATCTAGTTTTTAGTTGATTATCTAGATTTTTAAGGTTGATGCCTTCAATATCCAATTGAAGAATTGCATATTAGGGAAGAGTTTATTTAAAAATATCAATCAAAATTGTTATTATAATTTCTGGCTCGTGACCATTTAATTAGAAGTTAAAAGAAAATACTTTTTTAAAGAGTTAAAAGAAAATACAAAATGAGTGAAGTCTTTTTGGGCTGTACATTTATCTGCGGATGCCATTTTAAGCCTTTTGACTGGCTTTACGTGAAAGTGATTATTTTGGAACACTTCTATTTTTTTATTAAAAATCAACGATTTGATTTGGGATACAGCAGGAATAATTTTTTTAATAAACATCAAAGCAAGGGTGTATTTTGTACAAAACATGCGGCGAAATTTTCATTGTTCTTAATTTGATTTTTTTTAAAACACTCTTATTTTGATTATAAAAAGCTCTAAATAAATCAAGAAACCGCAATAAACCCCGGCTGTGACCACTGAAATGTCCTTAACGAAACTAGATTAATAACAGTAATCTACGACTACGCCCTGACAACCATTAATAACCACACTTTGGTGGAATATTCCATTTAGTCTCGGACAGGGTCGTATTCAACGATACATATCGTTTCCAGTCTTCAAGAGCAGCCTTTAGGTTATTCACTTTGTTGTCCAAACCAATACAACAATTAGCATGCATTGTATTGACCACGTTGATGTCCCTGCTCGGCTGGCAAAACCCTCCAAAGTAAACCGTGTCAAAGAACCTAATCTTGATTCCAAGTTTCACGACGAACTGTTTGTTTTTTATGAGGTTGAACACATCTTGATCGTGTTTTCCAGGGAACTTTCGACTCGATCTGATCCAGTACTTGTAAAAACTTAACGTTTTGTTGTTTGCTTTGACGTATGTGAATCCCGAGTTCACGTGGTTATTCTTGTCTGATGGCTTTCCGTTGTAGTCGTCGCACGTTATCTGAAAGTCAGCGTCTGGGAAGAACCGGGGAAATGGATCTCGAAGCCACAAGATATCTGCATCCTATATTCAACAAAATTATCATTTATACACTTCAAAATTATCATATATAGTGTCCAGCAATCAAACAAGATATGTATCACCTAACTATTTCTACCTTTATCGTGGTATTAAATAAAAATTCGAATGACACATAATTATTTTGTCAAATAACACTTACAATAATGTAAAACAACGTACTGCTATCTTCAGATATTTTCATTATACTTAATTCAATATCTAAAACTGTATGTCGTTGACAATAAAGCATCTATGTATATGTACACATGCAAACATAACTGTCACAATCTTGAATATTGGTTTATGTAATATTTATACTGAAGTTATCTCTACCATAGAGTCCTAACAAGCCGCCTAATATGAATGAATCAATGAATCAATAGATCAAGAAAAACATAATAAATGGAAGTCAGAATTAAACTAATTAAAACAAAACAAGGAATATCCATAGGTCAAGTCTAAAACCTTCAGGAAAAAAAGTAAAATCTAGCAAACGGAAAATATTAGAAGAAAAATTTCATAAAAGAGTATCTAATATATAATACTAACTAATTATATCTAGAATAAGAGAAGAAAGTGAAAGTTTCATGTACCGTGAAGATGAAGTTGTATCCTAATCCAAGAACTTCCCTAAGAAGATCCATTCGCCGCCAAATGAGTTTCAAATAACCAGGCGTCATAAACCGGTTTGGACCAGAGAGCTGGTCTGAATCTGTTGCATTGATCAAGTAGCAATGGGGGTGAACCTCTATGCACCGATCGTATGCATGTTGATCCAAGCAAACCGCGATGACGTGTTTCAATAGCCTCTCTGTTTCTATTCCGGCTTTAAAACTCTCTCGAAACACGTCGAAAGTTGAGTTTGGTTTGGCCCATGCTTGGTTCAACGCTGTGATGATCACTGTCTTATCCTCCATAGCAGCATTCATCAGTACTCTCTCTAGTTCTGAAACCGGTTCTCTCTTTTGCACCTAAAAGTGTAGTTAGGATTAGCATATCAACAAAATAAAATGACCAAACATTAATTGTTTCATTGTTCAATACTAATTAAAGATCGGTTTAGCAGTTAACCCAAAAACGGTTTAGCAAATTACTCATTATTCATTGACAAGTTCGCTACAAACATGAAAATATATAATTTACTCATTTAGCAAATAAGAAATCTACGTAAATATTATCTTTCCTAATGACAATAAGCAAAATATGTTAAGCATCTAGCAAAACTTTATCAGCAATTTCTTGCATAACTTATATGTAATATTAATTATTAATATTTAAACTATATTAATGTTTTTAAATGGTTAACAAACATATGAACATACTAACCGTTTCTAAGGAAGTCTCGTTAATGGTTTTTGAAGAATAACAATCGGTCTTCCATGGAAACACCATGTTGAGTGGATTATTTGCAGATGTGTAGAACAATAGGCAAGAAAGTGTCACGGTTGTGACCAACAACACAAACTTAATCATGTCTCTCCCGGTGGATATCACCGGCTTAGATTTTCCGTCGTCAATGCTAACTCCGGCGAACTTGTATCCCATGTTAGAAGATTCGCCTTTCCTGCTCTCCATTATTTTGACTATCAATTTTCCTTGTTCGTTGCCTTTGTATATATAAATGTTTCCTTTATATTACCTTACCATATATCTCCATTTAATAGTCTTGAGTTTCCTTTGAAATGGTCTTTTCAATTTTAAGTATATAAGTTACTCGTGAGGACTTTTATAACGATTGATTATGGTAAGTAACTTATGAAGATATTTTTCTTTCTCAAATGGGGGGAAACTTCCTTTGAATCATATGGTTATACCATGACCAAAATGGGCTCATAACTTTTTACCGGTTCGATTCAATTGTGTCTCTAAATGAGTATAACTTCAGGGTTACCAAGAAAACTATAACTATAACTAGATAATACTCGAACCAATTTGGTTTTGTAGAATGAAACTATATATCGTAGACATAAGTGACACTGACGAGAAAAAGCAAATGATTTTGGTTTCTGACAATCACATTATAACAAACGATAGGAAAATACAATTATCATATAGAAAACCGGTCATAAAATCGGTAAATCATTACCAGTTTGAACCATCCGGTTTAAGTGTTCAAGCAAAATAGGAAACCTTACTGAGGTAATTGGTAATTATGTGTTTAGCGTTGAATAGGTCAATTTGCTAAGACGTCTATTTAAGAAAACCCTTGAATAAAATGGCATTTGGGGATATACAGTACTCGTTTCTATTGGTCGACCTTTGGTCAGATGTAGTGTTAAAATCAATCTCTACTTCTAAATTAAATTTGAAAAAAAAAACGTTGAATGATTGGTCATTTTAAGATAAGCAATTCTAAATTGTAGCTCCTTGTATATAAAAGGTTTGGATCAACATCATAGAATTTTTGTTTGGTTCTTGGCATTACGTCAAGATTTTTAATAATCTCTCCATTTTTTAATATAAGATATTTTGCTTGAATGCTTAAAGATTAAAAAACTTATTTTTTAAAAGATAATATTATTAAATAGTATAAATTAAACATAAGTTAATTACTTTTCAATAAAACTAAAATACTTTAAAAATATCAAAACATTTTATATTTTGAAACATCAAAAACTTTTCCAAAACATCTTATATTGTGGAACGGAGGGAGTACATGTCAGTCTCAACTTGATAGAGAACTTCTCACCAATAATAATACATTCTATGGTTAAAAAATTGGTATCCTTTGATTCCACTTTATCTGTAATCTGTCTTACAAAAAAAAAAGAAAAAAAAACTAAACATAAAAGACTTGTCCAACGTTCAAAAGGGTTTCATGAGGAACATGTAAGATAACACTATTCTCCCTACAAATCTTAGCAAGAAACGCATAAACATAATCAATCGCAATCTTTTTAGGAAGCCCTGCTCCACTTCTCGCTTTCACCACAGTGTTTCCCATGATATGAACAACACCTGACTCTTTACAAGTCTGCAGAAACTCCAACTCATCCTCCTCTTCTTCCTCTATAGTGCTGCTGTGCCTGAAACTCATCCTGTTATGCGGCGAATCAACGGGTACTATCGTGTCTAATGTCGATACCGTGTAGTCCACCATCGATGAGAACATATCCATATTGTTGTTTTCATTGTTGTCATTGTTGTTGTTACCATTATGGTGGTTGTTGCTGTTGTTGTTATGTACCAATGCATCTCTGGAGTCTTGTGTTTGGTTTACTGAATAGGCACTGCTGTATGTGCTTGAGTTAGCACCTGGCTCCATCATTGTTTCGATTCTGATGAATGAGAAGAGGCTATTGAACAGTTTGGTTTCGAAATCATCGTCTTTCCTATGCAGATCTTTGTAACCATACCTGTTAAAACAGATTATTAAAACTCTGTGTCTCTAAAGAACAGAGAAGATTAGGAGTAGGACAGTACCTAGCTACACAACGGAACATTCTGAACGTCTTTGGTCCTATCCTTTTGACAATAAACCTCTCTTCTTCAGGGACGGTGTAAACAGGAAGGTACTTAACGCAGACAAAGACTACAACCGAGTGAATAGCAGGCAAGTTAGTGATGAAATGAGAGAAGATGTGAGGGACACCTCTCGCTAACTCTGTGTAGACCAAACCTATCCCTGGGACACGAACAAGACCAAGGCTAGGACCAAGACCAAGTATCCAACTCATGGAAACTTTACTGTGAACTTCAAACTCATACTTCTTGACCGTTGCGTAATGCCAAACAGACATTACAAGAAGAGAGATGGCTGCTATGATGAGTGGAACCCATCCTCCTTCTATAAACTTAAAGATCACTGCCGAGAAGTAAGACAGCTCCACAATTAGTGAGAGGACAGCGAATACAAGAACAAGGCTCCAGTGGCACCTCCACACAAGTATCATGATGAGAACCATTAGCAATGTGGTCATAAGCATCACCAGCACAACAGCAGTTCCTAACAAGACCAAACAGAGAACATATAGTTTCAGTTTTGTTATGAATGCTAACCAAAATGTTAACCTCTACAATCTTACCGTATGCATTTCCGATTTGGCTCTGATTCTTGAAACTAGCAGTGACGGCAATGCAGCCAATCATTAGCATCCAGTTAATATCAGGGCAATAGATCTGACCAAAGAACTTTTTGGAAGTGTGAACAATCTTAACACGAGGAAAACAACCATGAGACACAGCCTGTTTGACTATAGAATAAGTCCCTGAGATAGTAGCTTGGCTCCCAACTATAGCAGCTCCTGTGGCGACTATAAACATAGGCCAATACACACTATCTGCATAGAGTTTCAAAACCAAAAGAGAGTTTTTGAGTGTTCTGTAAAAGATGTGAAAAGATCATTGCACAAAGGGACAGACCAGGGATAGATGCATAGAAAGCATCTTTGTAATGATCTTTGTGGTTGACAAGATACGCAGCTTGTCCACAGTAAGCTAGAAGAAGACAAGGGAAGACGAAAAACGTGAAAGCGAGCTGTATGGCGAGTAAAGGGAAGTAAGCAATGTCTGCGTATAGTGCCTCTGTGCCTGTAATGCTGAGAAGAATGCCACCGAGAGAGATCCAACCATCTCTTCCTCTTCTTTTGAAGTATAAGTAGACGTATGTTGGTGAAAACGCTTTTAAAACGCTTGTGTCGTGTTTGAAGATGTTGTACATTCCAGTGGCTCCAATGAAGAGGAGCCAAATACAGACGATGGGTGCAAAGAGCCAGCCTACTTTGTCTGTACCGTAATGTTGCATACTGAATAGTCCTATTAAGATGACGATAGAGACAACCACAACTATGTCTGCAAACACAAAAGGAAATGAGTTAAAACTAAACCGGTCTGAAACTTGAAGGTGTGGTGAAGCTTTTACCGCCGCTCATCTTTGGATTGTTGACTTTGATCCCACCAGTAGCTGAAAGAACTGTACCAAAGAAGGTTATGTAAGCTACAAAGTTTCAGTAAAAGCTGAAGAAAGAAAGAAAGAGGAAGAAGAAGGTTTACCTGAGATGGCTGGGGTTAAGATACCATCACCAATGGTCATACAAGTTCCAAGAAGAACAATGACAAGAAGAGCTCTCTTCCTCCAATGTTTACCTTCCAGCCACTTCTTTGTTTTAGCAGAGAAAGACCCTTCAGGGACTAAAGTTCGGCTATAAGTAGTGAGATTCTCATCGCTGCGTTGCTGATTTGGGATTAAACCCACTTTAGCATGTCTACAAAGCAACGAGTATATAGCTAATGTCCCACCTACATACAAACATTGAGTATAAATTAAACCGGTTTGGTTAAAGCAAGTTTTGATTTAAAAAGCTTTACCTTGACCATTGTCATTAGCTTTGCAGACAATGAAGACATATTTGATCAAAGGAACAAGCAAAAGAGAGTAAATGATCAAAGAAAGAGCTCCAATTACATCGTCTTTATCTTCAATCCCATCAGGGAATGTATTGTAGAACACATACAATGGTGAAGTCCCTAAATCTCCGTATACTATGCCTAGACTTTGGAATGATAGTCTCAGTAACACCCACATCGAGTAGCCCTGATTTAAAAAAAAAAAGAAGCCAAATTTAAAGCCAAAAAAAAAAAAAGAACAAAACTTTTCTCCACTTCTCAAAGTCGTCTACATATGAAAATGATATGAGTTTTAATAGAGAAAGTGTTGACCCCTTCTCCGTTGATGGTATTGATCTTATTAGCTTCTTCATCCATGGGTTGGTCAAGCTTCTGCTCTAGTTCCCACATAGCTCCTACATGTCTTTCTTCAATAGTGTTTTCACCTTCTGGAATTGACGTTTCTACCCTTTCCGCCATTTTTTTGTGATCTGGAAACAACAACAGAGCTTTTTCCTCTAGATTGATTCCTTAGATCAAAACCAGTGGGAGCTCTAGGATTCGAGCAATTTTGCTTGAGATGAGACCAAAGTTGAAACCTTTGTTCTGTTTTCTCTGAGTATAAGAAGCGACTTTGAGTTTATTACAGAGTAATAATAATATGATTAAATAAAAAAAGACAGAATCAGTCAATTGAAAGGATAATATGAAAAAGAAATATACCAAACAAAGAATCTTTTTAACAACTATGATGATGATGATTACGCGAACAGAACACGGTTTGGGAGAAATATGTTTTTTTTTTCTTTCTCTTCTTCGTTGTTTCTCTGTTTTCAGATATTAACAGAGAGTGACGAAAGAAGAGGAGAGATGAAGACAAAGATTGAACGATGAAACTTTATAAGTTTATGAAGACGCTGACAAAACTCAAGTCTTGTGGCAGAGAGAGACACGGGCAGTTAAACTCTCTTTCTTTCTCTCTCTCTTTTTGTTTTATTTTTCTGTTTTGGTATATACCTTTTCTTTTCTTTTCAATTGTTGTCACTTCAAATTATTTACTTCATTTTCAGATTGTGACATAGACATATACTATGATATTTTTTTCCAAGTTTGATAAAAACAAAGGAGGAAGAACACATAGAGTAGACTACAAATTAAATTTCTTTTTCTCATATTTATTGCCAAAACAAATAATTTTTTTGGCACTGTATGTAGATGTTTGTTTATTTAATGTTGTGTTGCTTTCATATTCCCAAGGCAGTCCCGCACAACTTTTATAGATTCGTATACCAGGAATGCCTTTTGGTGATACTATATGTAAAACGAAATATTGTATGATCAGATTCACAAGAGTTAGAATACAAATAATTCTATTTTATTATGCCGTAGGTAAATATATGTATTCTGAATATCATGCTACCTGGTTATATTCAGTACTATCATATTTTGACCCAAAAAAAAAACATTTCACGTTCGACCTACAATTATTTTAAAAATTGTTGTATAGTGTTTAATATACTAGTTGATTACCAAGTACACTAGTTTATTAAAACTTGACTTTATGTCATACATAATTCAATATATATACCACCAGATCAATGACCATGGTAGATTTTTGTATAAATTACTAGATTTAATTGTTCAACCATATTTTAACAAAGTGGAAGTCTAATGACTCATAATAGTTAGCTATATTGATTATAATTAGTTTCCGTATATATTTATCATGTAAGACGTGGATATACTCTAAATTATTCCTAGATCTATATGCTCTTTCTCCACAAAAGAGAACGTGCATGAGATTACGCACATATATATACCATATCTTATGTGAAACTCGCAGATAGAATAAGATTATTTTTATCAGTTTGTATTTTACATATAGTATTTTTTTTTTTGGTAAAATACGTATAGTATATGTTATTAATTTAACAACCGTCTGTTGAAGACCCACGTTAAAGAAACTGTCATCTTGATCGGATCTGCTCATAATTCTCTTCCTTATATACAAACTGATGATACAAATTAACAGCAGTACAGTATCTCCTTGTTCTTCACGTACATGACACTTTATAATAAGACTAAGTATATATTTCTATTGTTTATAAACATAAAAAGTAGTTATTTCTATTGATTGAGCAAGTGTTCAGGGATTGTGACCAGGGTCGGTCCTGAGTTTGGCTAGGCCCCAAACAAAACAAAACAAAATTGCAAAATTTTATTTATTTTGATACTTTCATAATTTTTTTTTTTTTAAACTATTAGAATATATTTTTAGCATATAGATATTTATTAAATTAATTAATTTATCTGTTTTTCTTACATAAAATATTTTATTATAATGTATAATATTTTATTTTAAATAAAATATACAAAATTTATTATTAGTTTTCTAAATTGTGGGCTGAACAAATTTGGGGGCCATACCAATAGTTCATGGGTATCCCCTTAGGTACGGGCCTGATTGTGACGTATTTAGAGCATCTCCATTAGAGGTTCTTAGGGGGAGTTCACCTCTTTCCTAAGAAAAAATAAAAATAAAATAAGATTATTTTGGTGAACCTCACTCTCAAAAGTTCATGATGGTGAACCTGGTTCACATGGGGTTCGCCACGTGGCGGCCCCCCATTCGTCCGATTTTTTTTTTTTTTTTTTAAAAACAAAAAAAAAAAAATTAAAAAATTAATTTTTTTTTTTTGGTGAACCTCCCATGGGGTTCACCAATGGAGATGCTCTTAGGGCATCTCCATCAGTGATATTGAGGTGGAGATCGCCAGCTGGATTATTTTTTTTTCGTTTACTTTTACGAAAAAAAAAATTGACCAATAACAGACCGCCACATGTCATTGGGTCCACGCTACAGTGCGTGAACCGCCCTTTGCAGATGAACTCCACAGTTTCAGGTTCTCTCGAAAACTGTGTAATCCCCCTTTGAACCTCATAAAAACCTCTAATGGGGATGACCTTAGTGGATGGCCACGATTAATTATTGGTGCGGATGGTGATGTTATGAATTTCATATAAAAATGGAATATGTTAAAGCAGAAATATTTGTAAATATATTTAAATTATTATGTTATATGTTAAAGCATCTCAATTATGCTAAGTTTTTTATTAGATTTTGCTATGTATATATATAAGCTTGTCAATTAACATAGATCAATAGTCATGATTTGTAAGATGTTAGAGTACTAAATGCTATGATAAAATATGAAAGGAAATCATTCCATTTAGTATAACCAGTCGTGAAGCTTACATATAGCATTTTCATGTATGGCACATCATATAAATATAGATTCCGAAAAGATCACATATCTATGTATTTTTCAAAACATACAGCTTGTGTGCACGCACGTACATGTGACTAAAATATGCGATCCTCAAATAGAAAGAAAGGTAATTTATTTCCTCTGATTGTGTTTTTTTTTCTGGAGTCAATGTGTTCACAGTATCTCCAGATACAGCATTGGTAATATTTATTTTATTACCAAGAAAAAAGAAAATTAGGAAATAATATGAAGAATTTGATACCAAAAGCGAAAAAAAATCAAGCCTTTTTGTACTTTCATTGCATATGACCGAAAAAAAAATATAAAGTCTATAGACTCAATACATATACCACACCACCATCTATGGGTTTTGGATTGGTATTATTAATTGGAGTAAAATGGTGAAAAATAAAAGTGGAAAATGGAGGGAATAAAAATTGAAACTGAGAGTAATTTTTTTTCTTTTGTTTAAGGGAGATGAAAATATTACCCTACATTTACTATTTTTCGGAATAAATGAATCGAACACAAATTTCATTTGATTGGTGGGAAATGGAGTAACTAAGCTGAACATAAATATTTATTCTACTTTGTTTACTGTAATGATATACAATCACACTCTATATGTATTTTTGGTCAATTATTCTATCACGTCAATTTTCATTTTTGTATTACGTTGGAATATTTCGATGGTTTACAATATCGTAATGGAATAGAAATATATAAAACGTTATCCTACTACAAAATAATTGACAAAAAGAAGTACTAAAATCTGTCATCAGCCCATAGTTATGACTTATGACAGGTGACGCATATTCCACTTAAGATTCATTTATTTAAATATAAGCTACCAAATTATATGATTGGGACAAAAGTCTATACTCAATACATACCATACCATCTATATGTATTTTTTGATCAAATGGTTGGTAGTAGCAATAGTTTTTAATATTAAATTTGATATTGTTGTTGGAAAACTACATTTATAGTGTTGAAATTATATTAAACTAGTATGATTTTGATATTAAACGTCTTTGAAATCTAAATGGTTTTTTAAAAGAAGAATAGGCACATAAATGAGTAGAAGTTAAATATTCGTCCGTTCTGTGTTTTTTTCCTACTAGCTCACAACAGATAACAAAGTAAATCTCTCTGTTATCTCTTTTTATCTATACTAGTTTGTTCAAAAACGTTTACAAATTCCTTGATTGATCAAAGCTTTAAACTTATTTTTATCTCGGTGGAGCAGATATTTTGCATATCCTGCGACTGTAACATAGGATGAGAAATCTCAGTAAAACAAATTGTTTAAGAGCATCATTAGTGAGTTCTTAACCTTCCATTTTTGGAACCGCGTGACTTCCCTATTTGATCCCTGAACCAGAGAAACTTGTTCCTAGGTTTCTTGATCATAGTTGTATGAGTATTCATGTTCTGATATATTATATAACTATTATTTTCCTCTCCAAAACTGTTCATATAATGTTGTTCAAAAACAAACTATTCATATAATACTTTTTAGATATAAACTGATTTAATAAATTAATTGAATTTGAAAATTGAATTATCTGATTATTTTTATCAAAAATAAAGAAAATTATCAAAAATATTCTATAGTTTTATCAAAGTCTTTATTTTTCTATCAGCTACATATTTAAACTAGATCAAATGGTAATTAAAAGAGTTTGATTTTTTAAGGAGTATATGCGTTTAGCTGGATTTAATCTATATTGGAAGATATAGTTTATAGTCCTTGTTTCTTTTGTTAATGTGTGCATCCAACCATTCAGACTCTATATAATATAAAACAAGTTCACATCTTCGAAATCCTCTTATAATCTCTGAAATATCTGAATTTTATCACTAAAGTTTGTCAATCCATCGATTTTATAGACATGTTCACTAAGTCCGAATAGTCCGTCTTGAAATGTATCGAAGTTATCCTCTTCTCTCTCATACATGAAACTACACAAAATAAACCTTTTATTTCACCATGTAAAACTGAGAAAGACTTGCTATTTGTCTATAATCCAAAATATTTAGAACCCATTTGATCTTTTAAATTTCACCCTAAATCGCTGACTGCCATTATTGATCCATAAAAACCGTTGCTAAAGAAGACCATACAAACCGAGATGAACCGAAAACCGAACCTCCAGACACTAATAATAAAAAAGATGGGTGATTTGATTTTCTTCCAAGACATAAAAAAGATGTGTTTAGTTACAAAAATTCTGCAGTTAATTCTTATGCATAAAAAATGGTATAAGTAACAAGTAACATAAACTCTATAAGAAACAAGAAAACACACTCTGTGGACACAGTTACAAACATACTAGACTTTTATTTATCAGTTCAAAAATGATAGTATAAAGTACAAGTAACATACTAGACTGCAAAAAGAAAAACTTTATTTATCAGTTCTGTGAACTATCAAACTTCTCCATTTGAATGCTGCTCTGAAGAGGCACGTATTCACCAAGATACCCACCAAGATGATCATTCAACGCACTTTTATCAATCCCCTGACGATGAAAGCTCTTACAAACATAGTAAAACACACTCTGCACAAGGAACCCAACAAGATTCACCACCGCAAGAACACAAACCAAGAACCCACCAGCGACTATCCTAGCCAAGACTCCGTGATCTTCTCCGCCACGAACCACCACCTCACCGAAAACTCCATAAACGACTGCACAGAGAGCAAGATAGATGAAAACCATGGAGCAAGCCACTATGGTCTTCCCTCTCAGCAACTCGTAGCTCTTCTTCATCGCCGCGAAACCCTTAACCGGCTCAAGAACGGAGACCACGCTGGCTAAATGCCACAGAGCCGTCATGTAAACATGAACGACCAAGAAGAGAACCTTGATCACTACCGACGAGAAGACAGCTGAACCCACGTTGATCTGTAAATCGTTGGCCACCAAGAAGATCGAGAACACGGTGTGGTAAGCGAGCATCAAGGCACAAACCCGTACGAAAGTGGTGAAGAGTCGTGGGAGGAGGAGAGGGATGGCTGAGGTTGTGGAGGAGAAAGAAACGGGCTTTGAAGTGTAGAGAGACGCGACGGTGAAGACTACAGCGGCGGTGGAGAGGAGAGAGAAGGCGAAGAGGAAGGTGAGGTAGAAGAAGTTGATCAAGACGAGGAGGAAAGTCCATTGGTTTAGCTGAGGTAGGAGGATGGGTTGCGTGAGGAAGGAATGTGCGAGGATGGCGAAGGAGAGAGGGAAGATTAGGGTTAGGGTTATGAGGAAGAAGGTTTTGGGGGAGTGTTTGGAGATTGAGGTTGATTCACGCGTAGGATTCCTCTGATGCTGAGGTGTTGAAGCTCTGCTTGGGAAAGATCCATGGGTGCGTTTTGGAGAGCTTCTAGATCGAGAAGGAGTGTAGTTCTTGACGATTTGATAGAATCTTGAGAGTGTTTCAACACAGAAGAGAGGACGTAGAAGAAATAGGCATACTTGTAATTGTTGAATACAAATTCATTTTCCACTTGGGAAAACAAATTCTTAACTTAGAGAAAAAGTTACGAGAACAAAAATCAAGAAATGAAAAAGCAAAGAGTAATTTTGAACTAAAAAAATTATTTCATTTTCAAAACTGTCTGTAATTTTGCATATTAAACATATAAAGTATTATATAGTATACTTATTTTCTTTTGATGAATTAAATTTACTGTTCAATGCTAATACATTTAATAATAAATACAATATAAAATATTAATCAGATTTAAAATTTCATGTGAAAATAACAAAACTACTCTTTTTAAATTGAATACAAATATTTGTTTTCTGATGTATATACAGAAAATTAGTATTTAGCAAAAAGATTTGTTGCTAAACATCTTAAAATACAACATCGAATTTAAACTGAACAATTCTCTCAAATAATTCTTTTTAAATTTTCATCACAAAATAGCTCTAAGAAAAAAATAATCAAAATATTTTTATATTTTTATTTTGAAATTTGTAATATTTATTTTTTATAAACCTCACTCTTTAATTCTAATCAATAAATCTAGATTAGTTAATCCAAGAGTATAAATACTATTAGACCATCATTAACGCATGAAACCCAAAATGAGTTTTCAAATTTTTTTTTGTCTTATCTGATTTTTTTTTTAAAAAAAGAAAAAAGTAAAACATTACTAAAAATCGACCAACATCTGATAATCTTTGTTATTGGTGGACCCAAGGAAATTAAGAAACCCTTTAAAAACTGCTTTAATCATGTCCTTAATTCTTTAATAAAATTTATTTTGATCATTTTCCTCATATTTTTGAGGAAATAAAGTAAAAATGATTATCCAAATGAAATTTCTCATTTAAATTTGATAAAAAAACATCGAATTTAAATAAGAAACTGAATTTAGACTGAAAAAGACGGACCGGAATCGAACCAAGCGGCTATATAAAGAGTAGATTTTTGTCAAACACACATAACCCAACTCTCTCTCTCTTTCTAGACTCTATGCAAGAGTTCGCAGAAGAAGAGCTTCGATGACATCATCACTTCTCGCCAAGTCAAACCGCTTCCTCCTTAAACCTCCCAAAAAACCCAACTCCCTCTCCTTCCTCAGATCAATCTCTTCCGACAACGAATCCAACAACGCTCCTCTCCCTCCACCTCCCCAATCCCTCGTCAAATCAATCTGCTCCTTAGTCTGCCACACCTACCTCCGTCAACACCACGTCACACTCTCCCCACACCGCCTCCTCACCCTCGACCTCGACGCCAATTCCCTCACCCACGAGCAAGCCATCACCGTCGTCGCCTCCCTCGCGAGCGAATCCGGCTCCGTGGTGGCTCTCTGCTTCTTCCACTGGGCATTAGCCTTCTCCAAGTTCCGACATTTCATGAGACTGTACCTCGTAACCGCCGATTCGTTGATCGCAAACGGGAACTTGGAGAAAGCTCATGAGGTGATGCGATCTATGGTGAGGAATTTCGCGGAGATCGGGAGGTTGAACGAAGCTGTAGGGATGGTTTTAGATATGCAGAATCAAGGGCTGTCTCCGAGTGTGATAACCCTTAACTGCGTTCTCGAGATTTCGATTGATTTGGGGTTGGTGGAGTATGCGGAGAATGTGTTCGACGAAATGTCTGTGAGAGGAGTTTGTCCTGATTCGAACTCTTTTAAGCTGATGGTTATTGGTTGTTTTAGAAGTGGGAAGATTCAAGAAGCTGACAGGTGGCTTAACGGGATGATGCAAAGAGGGTTTGTTCCTGATAACGCCACGTGTACGTTGATTCTTAGTGGCTTTTGTGAGAATGGGTTGGTGAATAGAGCGGTTTGGTGTTTTCGTAAGATGGTTGAGTTAGGGTTGAAGCCGAACTTGATAAATTTCACGTCTTTGATTGATGGGTTGTGTAAGAAGGGTAGTGTGAAGCAGGGGTTTGAGATGTTGGAGGAGATGGTTAGAGTTGGGTGGAAGCCGAATGTGTATACACACACGGTTTTGATTGATGGGTTGTGTAAAAGAGGGTGGACGGAGAGAGCGTTTAGGCTGTTTTTGAAGCTTGTTCGTAGTGATTGTTATAAGCCTAATGTGTATACTTATACTTCGATGATTGGTGGGTATTGTAAAGAGGATAAGTTGAGCCGTGCTGAGATGTTGTTTAGTAGAATGAAGGAGCAGGGTTTGGTGCCTAACGTGAATACGTATACGACGCTCGTTGATGGGCATTGTAAAGGTGGGAACTTTGAGAGAGCGTATGAGTTGATGAGTTTGATGAGTGGTGAAGGTTTGAGACCGAATATTTATACGTATAATGCGGTTGTAGACAGTCTTTGTAAGAAATCAAGGGCGTCTGAGGCTTATGAGTTGCTGAATAAAGCGTTTTCTTGTGGACTGGAGGCTGATGGAGTTACTTACACTATTCTTATTCAAGAACAGTGTAAGCAGAGTGACATCAAGCAAGCTCTTGCGTTTTTCTGTCGGATGAATAAGACTGGTTTTGAAGCTGATATGCGTCTGAACAACATTTTGATAGCTGCATTTTGTAGGCAAAAGGAGATGAAGGAAAGTGAGAAGCTTTTTGGGTATGTGGTGAGTCTTGGCTTGGTTCCAACGAAGGAGACTTATACATCCATGATTAGCGGGTATTGTAAGGAAGGTGACATTGATCTAGCTTTGAAGTATTTTAATAACATGAAGAGACATGGTTGCGTTCCTGATAGCTTCACTTATGGTTCACTAATAAGTGGTCTCTGCAAGAAGTCCATGGTGGATGAAGCTTGTAAGCTTTACGAAGCAATGATTGACAAAGGTTTAGCTCCTTCTGAGGTGACTCGTGTCACGTTAGCGTACGAGTACTGTAAGAGGAATGATTCTGCCAACGCAATGATGCTTTTGGAGCCGTTAGATAAGAGGCTTTGGATTAGAACGGTTAGGACACTAGTGAGAAAGTTGTGTAGCGAGAAGAAAGTTGGAGTTGCAGCTCTGTTCTATCAAAAACTGTTGGAAAAAGATGGTAGTGTTGATCGTGTTACTTTAGCTGCTTTCACTACGGCTTGCTCCGAGTCTGGTAAAAACAACCTTGTTGCTGATTTGACTGAGAGAGTTTCCAGAGGAGTTGGCTAGAAAGTGTTTATTATATCTCACGTCAGTTGCTTTGAGCTCTCTGTTTGAAGAGCAAAATACACACATTGTTGTACCATTTTTACTGATGTAAAAGTAGAATAGTTATGGCCAGAAGGAAGTTAAATACACACATTTACTTTCCTCAAAACCATAAATAAAGAAGAGAAGAAACAAGAAATGAACTATAGAAGAAGCCAAGAAGAAGCAAACAAGCTCACCACCAAACCAGCCTTAGCTCCTCCCAAGATCCTAGCCGCACTAGCCTCATCAGCAGTTCCATCATCCGCCTCTTCATCAGGCCCTTCCGCAGGCGAATCCGACTCATCAGACGACGGTGCAGCCTTCTCTTTGTCCCCCTTCGCTTTCCCTTCAGCCGGTTTTGGAGAACCCGCAACATCACCGTCCTCCGGTGCCGCCGGAGTTGGAGCCTTAAACAGTTCTTTAGGCAATAAAACCTTATCAGTCGCATAGATAGCCAATGGCTGCTTCTCGATCAGAGCACAAACGATTTGGACAGTGTTGATCCTTGTCTTGAGGGTAACTTTCTCTCCATCGTTCTGTACAGTGAGCTCGAGCTTGTTGGCTCCATATTTGGCAAGTGTGGTCATTGGACCATTGTTGGATTTGAGCATCGCCATTGAGTAGTAAGTCGGAACAGCGAGGAAATCGAGGAAAGCTTTTTTCTTGAGAGACGTTAAGTTCTTGTATTTGGGCAAGAATCCTTTCATGGCGTCATCTCTTGGACAGAACACTGTCATGCCTTCTTCTACACTTTTCTGTTACATATCCACGCAAAAAAAAAAAAAAACTACTGAATCTCTCGATAACTACTGCAGTGTTTGTAGTCTTTTAATTCAGATCACTTTAATACAAAATGTTATTTAAATTTACAGAAATCTACTTGGAAAATTATAAACCTAAATTCTCTTTTTATAATAATAAATAAATAAAATTACTGCTACTTTCATAATTGAAAGGTTGCAGTTTTTAATTTGAGTTTTAATGTTCAGATGATTGAGATAATTTAGTCTATATGTTTGACTGTATACGTTGTTAACAGTCTAACACTCTCAAAACCTTTTGATTTTTTTTTTTGTTAGAAGCCGATAGAACAACCACATGCATATTACCTGATTAACTTAACAACGGAAATCAATATGATAATTAATATAGTTTCTAATGAGAGTAACTACTATCAGTCTATCACTAATCAGGGTTTAATTAGTGCAACTACCTTACTCTTTTTCGTTTAATTTAATTTCTGCATTTATACAACCACACGCATCTGTCACTTGATTAACGATTTTCATTTGGTAAACAAAAAAATTAATTAGGTTTTTTTAGTAATGTTAGTACCAACGTCTATTTGTATAATTAATTTCTAAATACAGCGACATGCATCTACTGATTAATTATCTTCTAGTTACGTGTAATTAATTAATTATCAGGGGTTTAGTACGTAACGTACCTGATATGTTTTTGAAGCTCCGGGGTTAGAGAGAAGAGTCTTGGCGAACACTTTACAGCCATGAGCGGACATTATTCCTGTGAGATTCATCTCCGCCGTAGTGGGAGCCGTCGTAGTGGGAGCCGACGCGGCATGCGACCCTAAGATCCTGCTGATCTGGATAACAGCGATGTTATACGGAAGCGCTTTGATGGATTTAACAAAGAAGGAAGATAAGTTTCCGCCGTCAGGGCGGAAACCGACTTTTCCGCCTCTCTTAATCGTTATATTGACGTATCCTCTAGCTCCAGGAGCGTTGGCTTGGAAGAGAGTGGCGGCGAGAATTGAGCCGGGGCCCATCTGGTGGAATTTCAGGGCGTCGTAGTAGTCGACGAGGACGTGGAGGGAGAGGATGTTTTTGAGAGTGGAGATGGTGTAGCCTTTGGAGGTTATTTCTGACATGGCGGCGTTGTTGACGGCGCAGACGGTTATGGTGTTTCTCTTGTTGATTTCGTGTGCGAGGTGAGTTTTGGTAAGGAGATGGTTGAAGGAGGAGAAAGAAGGGTGGTTTGCTAAGAGGCGTGTGACGTTGTGCGCGTGAGTTTCCACCGTGAGGAGGAGGAGGAGGAGGAGGATAGGGAGCATGTAGTAGGATATGAATGTTTCTCTCATCTTAATCTTCGCCATTGTTGATATGGTGGAGAGAAAATGAGATGAGGGGAGTTTTTGAGAGATTGGCTGAACTTCAAATTAAAATGGGGGAAAGGAAGATGGTGTTTACTTAAATGACCTTGGATTATGGTTGAACTTGCTATTGTGCCATTTAGTAATCTAGAAAGTGACCAATAATGTAAATCACAGGAGATGTTCAATTGCTCAAAACCGAAACAATTAACATGAACTGCAAAAATGGTTTTGATTTGGTAATACCGAATAAACATAATTAATGTTATTTTTAAGAAAATGTAGTATATTGATATAGTTCAGTATATTAACTAATCCAACCGAATAAACCAATTAACTAAAATATATTAGTATACTTACATTTACATTTTATAGAAAATTAAGGATATATACATAGATTATTTTATTAATATAATATACATAGATTATTTTATATTTATATTAGTTTATTATATTATTTGGTATATATAAAATATATATGTCTTATAGAGTTTAAATATATTTTTAGATATCTTACCCAAAAAAAAAAAAAATTTAGATATAATTTTACTAAACCTCATCAAAATATATATATTAAGTGTTAAAGTATAAATATAATTCCGTTGTGAATGTAAAATATACAATATAATTTGTACTCATATAAAACATGTATATTTATAAATTATTAATTTATAATTTATAATTTTAATGCAATCATATTTATTTTCATAAGTTAAAAATTTAGTATCTTATTATTTTATCTATTTGTGTCATATTTCGAACCGTCTCAATTTGGGAACATACAAATTTATTAATTTATGATGTTTATTAAATTATGGACTATTAATTTATAAAGTTTATACTGTAGAATCTATAGGTATTCTTATTTATTTTTGTCAAATGATCTATATCTTCTCTATTAAAAGAGAAGTACCATTTTTATCTACTATAAAATAGTCATACTAGGTACATATATTCAGTTACATTGTTTTGATTATTTACATTAGTTTATTTAATGTATAATATTTTAATAATTATAAAGATATTAATAACAAATCTATTTTAACTGTAATTTTAAATTTTAGTTTTAGTAATCACAAAATCTGTTGAGAAAAATCTAACAAAATCTTTTTAAAAATTTAAATAGTTTTTAATTAATACACTGATTAATTTCGTAATTAGTAGTATAATATTATTATACATTAATCTTAATTAAAATTTTATTATAAACAAAATATAATATACTATATGCCAATTTTATAAAATTTATAAGTATAATCTATATTATATTAAAATAGAAATAATAAATTAATTACATATAAAAATATATTAAATTGGTAAAACTAATATATTTTCAAAAAAAAATCATTTAAATAAATAAATAAAATATCATTCACCATTTAAGTGACTAAAATATTATTTACCTTTTAAGAAGATTAAATATTTGTAAATTATGTAATAAATTTTCCAGAAAATAAAATTGTTAACATATATTAAATTTTTATATTTAGAAAATGAAAGATCACCCGCACGGATGTGCGGGTTCAAAATCTAGTGTAATTTATGAGAAAATTTCAATTTATTGATTTTCTCAAAAGAAATAGTAAATGAAATTATCAATTTCGAACAATTCTAAAAACATCGCTATACAACAAAAAGTTGCATCTCTAGTAAATAACCACTAATAAATATCTTGAATTATAAACTTCAAGACCATAAAATACCATGCTTACACCATGACGCTCAGGATACCACGCTTACACCATGACACTCAGGATAATATATCACAGGTGGAATAAGAAATTCAAACTATTTCTCAAATAGGAAAATGGTGTTTTACATATGAGTTTTGGAAGAAGAAAAATCCTTGGTTGGGCCATGGATGGTACAATATATTTGAAGATTTTGACGGACTGATGGAGGCAAGAAATATAAGGAACAATTTATCTATTCTGCATGTGGAATCGGAAGAATTCATTTGGACGATGGAGAATATACAAAATCTTTGACAATTCAAGTAATGTTTGCGACATAATGTTCTCAGTTAGTGAAAATGGTATTTGAATCAGAAAAATGACATGCGTTCACTTCCTACTTAAAAGAGATTCATCGGAAATTGTTGGAGAAAGATGGTAGCTGATGGTGTTACTTTAGCTGCTTTCACTATGGCGTAACAGAATCTGGTAAAAACAACCTTGTTTGATTTGACTGAGAGAGTCTCCAGAGGAGTAGGCTAGAATGTACACATTCTATCTCACATCAGTTGCTTTGAGCTCTCTCTGTTTGAAGAGCAAATATACACATTGTTGTACCATTTTTACTGATGTAAAAATAGAATAGTTATGACGAGAAGGAAATGAGTTTCTCAAAGATAACAACCTTGTACAGAGACCTGACATGCTGAGTTTGATAAATTAAAAATATGACGATCATCAGCAATACAAACAAAGATAACCGGATCTCATAGATGAAAGAACCAACAAAAATAACGGGATTTATTTAATAGATCAAATAACCAAAAGAGAACCGGATTTAATTAATAGATCAAAGAACCAACAAAAATAACCGGGTTTAATTAATAGATCAAAGAACCGACATAGATAACCGGATTTAATCGATAGATGAAAGAACCGACTTAGATAACCGGATTTAATAGATAAGCGGCGTAATAAGCCTTATAAAATTACAAGACCGAAAAGAAAAAATAAAGAAGAATCGAAAATCGTTTTAGGGTTATTCCCACTCGAGTTTCTTTACACCACTGAGATCGACACTGGTGTCAGAGATCTAGGGTTTATCCCCAGCCATGTGGAACAACAACAACAACGACGGCATGCCGTTAGCCCCTCCCGGCACCGGCGCCCCGATGATTCCGCCACCGCATCCTTCCTACACTTCCCTTCCGCCTCATCCTTCTAATCCCACTCCTCCTCCTCCGGTCGAGCCTACTCCCGAGGAAGCCGAGGCGAAGCTCGAGGAGAAGGCGCGCAAGTGGATGCAGCTTAACTCGAAACGATACGGTGACAAGAGGAAGTTTGGATTCGTGGAGACTCAGAAGGAGGATATGCCGCCTGAGCACGTTAGGAAGATAATCAGGTAAAAGGTTTTTTCGAGATTGAGATTATGATTTTTAGTTTTGGATTGTGAGTCTAAAGCTTCTGTTGTTGTTGTTTTAGGGATCATGGTGATATGTCATCGAAGAAGTTTCGTCATGATAAACGTGTGTATCTTGGAGCTCTTAAGTTCGTTCCTCACGCTGTTTTCAAGCTTCTTGAGAATATGCCTATGCCTTGGGAGCAGGTTCTTGTGACTTGATATCTGCTTAGGTTTAGTTGTTATTGTTCTCTGTTTATTTATTTTATCTTTAAATCCCGTTTTGCTTCCAGGTTAGAGATGTTAAGGTTCTGTATCACATCACTGGAGCTATTACTTTCGTTAACGAGATTCCATGGGTTGTGGAACCTATTTACATGGCTCAGGTGTGTTAATAGCCTCTCTCTCTCTTATCTTGCGTCTGTCTATTGAATATTGATGAGTTTCCAAAATGTAATTATTCTATCGATACAGTGGGGTACTATGTGGATTATGATGAGAAGGGAGAAGAGGGATCGTCGTCATTTCAAGAGGATGAGGTTTCCACCGTTTGATGATGAGGAGCCTCCGCTGGACTACGCAGACAACTTGTTGGACGTTGATCCTCTTGAGCCGATTCAGTTGGAGCTAGACGAGGAAGAGGATTCTGCTGTGCATACTTGGTTTTATGACCACAAGCCGCTTGTGAAGACGAAGCTTATTAATGGTCCCAGTTACCGGAAGTGGAATCTCTCTCTTCCGATTATGGCGACCCTTCACAGGCTTGCGGGCCAGTTGCTGTCTGATTTGATTGATCGCAACTACTTTTACTTGTTTGACATGCCGTCTTTCTTCACCGCCAAGGCTCTGAACATGTGCATACCTGGTATACGCTACTTTCCTTCTCTTTTGGAGTTTTGATAATTTGTGTTTCACTTCGGTTTCTTCTCTTCTTCTAATGCATTTTGTTACTCTTACCCAGGTGGTCCTAAGTTTGAACCTTTGTACCGTGATATGGAGAAAGGGGATGAAGACTGGAATGAGTTTAACGACATTAACAAGCTTATCATTCGTTCCCCTCTTCGAACCGAGTACAGGATAGCTTTTCCTCACCTGTACAACAATCGTCCCAGGAAAGTCAAACTCTGTGTGTACCACAGTCCTATGGTGATGTATATAAAGACCGAGGATCCTGATCTTCCTGCGTTTTATTATGATCCGTTGCTTCATCCGATAAGCAACACCAATAAGGAAAGGCGTGAAAAGAACGTTTATGAAGATGATGGTGAGGATGACTTTACCTTACCAGAGGGAGTGGAACCTTTGCTAAAAGACACCCACCTCTACACTGACACTACAGCTGCTGGCATTTCCTTGCTGTTTGCCCCGCGACCTTTCAATATGAGGTCTGGGAGAACAAGGCGGTCAGAAGATATTCCCCTGGTGTCAGAGTGGTTCAAGGAGCACTGGTAAGCTACTGGTCGACTTTTCTTCTCTTTCCCTTTCATAAGTTTACTTGTATATTTCCTAATGCTTTTCTGAACTCATTAACTGCAGTCCTCCAGCTTATCCGGTTAAAGTTCGAGTTAGTTACCAAAAGCTTTTGAAGTGCTATGTGCTGAATGAGTTGCACCATAGACCACCTAAAGCCCAGAAGAAAAAGCACTTATTCCGCTCACTTGCAGCTACGAAGTTTTTCCAAAGTACTGAGTTGGATTGGGTTGAAGTGGGTCTGCAAGTCTGCAGGCAAGGGTATAATATGCTGAACCTCCTAATCCACAGGAAGAATTTGAACTACCTGCATCTTGACTACAACTTCAACCTGAAGCCTGTTAAAACATTGACCACCAAAGAGCGAAAGAAGTCACGTTTTGGGAATGCTTTCCATCTCTGCCGTGAGATCCTCCGGCTGACAAAGCTTGTAGTTGATGCAAATGTCCAGTTCCGACTTG